CAGTGGGCTACACGGGGAGGGCCTGCCCTCTGGGCAGTGGGCTTACACTGAGAGGGCCTGACCTCTGGGCAGTGGGCTACACGGGGAGGGCCTGCTTGTGGTCAGACACCACCTCCCGCCTACCAGCACCTCCATCTTCTCTCCTGGAGGTTTTGTCCATTTTCTTTCTAAAACCTGTTTCATGTTGAGTTTAAAGCAAATGACTCTTTCGACTAAAGCATATTTGATTTTTGTTCAACATAATTACCTTTTGCTACTGAAATTAAAGCTGCTACTATGGGGACCTTTTAATGTTCTCTCAAACCTAAACTGTTGTATGTGAAGGACTTGGACCGTGGGCTTCTTTGCTGACATGCCTGTTTTAAAGGACTGCTTCATCTCCCTATGCTCTCTTAGCATGAGAGAGTGATCTTTTCTTCTTTCTTTAACTTGTATTTTAAAAAAGGAAACTATGTTAAATGTATATGAAGTTGAAAATACATACAGAATTTTTTTTTTCTGAATTAGAGAGTAAGTTGCCAACCTGATACTTCATCTTCCCCCGTACGCTGTTCTTATTATGTATTTTGTACAAGCCAGGACAAGCTGTGCCCAATCACAAAACAACCAGCCTTTCCAAGCAGGCAGTTAGCATCGATCCATTCCTGTCACCCAAACTTCCGACCTCATTCAGCTTTCACCAGGGATGCCAAGAGTGTGCTTCATGGTAAAAAATAAACAGCCTCCCCCTCAAAACAAAACAAACAAAGAAACAAACAAAAACAAGGATCAGATCATGTGCTATGAATCATGTGTAATGTTGAGTTCTCATGTCTGTCCAGTTCCCTAAACCTGGAACAGTTCCTCAGCCTTTCCTGAGCATCATGACCTTGACATTCTTGAAGGTTGCAGGCCAGTTGTTTTGTACAATATCCCTCAGTTTAGAATGTCTGATATTTAGTTTCCAGGCTTGTGTCTTTGGGGAAATACCACAGAAGTAATGCTTTCTCCCTCCTCATCATATTCTATCACATGGCTCGTGAGTTATATCTGTCAAGATTTATTTTTAGAGACAGAGTCTCACTTTATTGCCCTCCATAGAGTGCTGTGGCATCACAGCTCACAGCAACCTCCAACTCCTGGGCTTAGGCGATTCTCTTGCCTCAGCCTCCTGAGTAGCTGGGACTAGAGTTGCCCACCACAATGCCCAGCTATTTTTCTGTTGCAGTTTGGCTGGGGCTGGGTTTGAACCCACTACCCTTGGTGTATGGGGCCAGTGTCCTACCAGCTGAGCCACAGGCGCCGCCCCTGATCTGTCATGATTTTGATGGTAACTTCAATCCCTTGACTAATGTGGCATCTGTCAGGTTTTTCCATTATAAAGTTACAAATTTTCCTTTGGAATAAATAAGTGTCTTACAGGGAGGTAATTTAAAACTATAAATATCCTATTTTTAAAAACAAACTATTTATTTATTTATGGACTGATGGCTTCTCATTTTATTCAGTGAACTTTAATCTGTTCCATTATTTTGATGCTTTGATTGTAGTTTTGGAACCCTTTCAGGTGGGTTCTGGGGTCCTTTTGATATATTTCTATTATTATCTGAGTACTGCCGCAGTGTCTGGTATGAGATGTTTTAGGGTTCCTCTTGTACTCTGCCTGCCCCAGACCTGCATTGGTCACTTCTCGGAGGCGCTCTGCTGCTGTGTACGGTGTCACTGCTCCCAGTCCCCGTCGGTGGAAAGAGCTAAGTGATGTCTGTTTTATAAACGCACATATACATATGCCAGAGCGAAATAAATATAGACATAGACTCTAAATTTTAACTTTTTTTTTTTTTCAGTTTTTGGCCAGGGCCAGGTTTGAACCCGCTGCCTCCGGTATATGGGGCCAGCGCCCTACTCCTTTGAGCCACAGGGCGCAGCCCTGGACCTCTAAATTTTAAATTTACTTGAGCTGTCTACAATGTGAATTGGGGCTCCAATTGCCGTTTGGAGCATACAAACAGACGGGCTGGTTGTCTGTATGTCTGAAGAACATACAGGTTTTATAAAAAGAAGAAATGTTATCTGTTCTCTGGAAAGAAAGTTCATTGGCTGTAGTGAAGTTTTGGGGAGCTGGCAAACTCTGATTGATGAGTGACCGTGGTGGATAAAACTCCTGAGTCTTAGAGTCCCGGCAGGTTGTTTTAATAGCTGCTAGATAAAACTGGTTTCAGGTTACAACAAGCAGCAGCCAGGCTTGCAGGGTGTAAGTTCTTCCCTCCCACTGCCCCACCCACGTTTCCCAATTCTGGTTTAATTGGTTATGACAAGAGGGACCCAGTTCATATGATCAACTTTCACATTTCCCTCTTTTCATCAAGGTCTTTCTCTCAAAGTCAATCATGTTGATGTTTTCTCGAGGTACAGGACCTTTCCTGCTTGTCTGTGTCCCACATTGAGGGTGTAGGGGGAGGCATCAGGGCCTCGAGTTCACAAGGAAAATTTTTTCTCAGGGCAGATGAGTTTGGAATCTGTCTCATTCTGTCTCAGGGCAGATGAGTTTGGAATCTGGTTCTGTCTCAGGGCAGATGGGTTTGGAATCTGGTTCTGTCTCAGGGCAGATGGGTTTGGAATCTGGTTCTGTCTCAGGGCAGATGAGTTTGGAATCTGTTTCTGTCTCAGGGCAGATCTGTTGTTTGGATCTGCTTGGTTCTGTCTTAACATTTCCACAGGTGTTGAGCTAACATTGTCCTGTTAAGAGAGTTGGCTTTACAATGATTAGACAGGCAAAAAGAACAACATTTAAAAATCATAATGCAGAAAGTAATTGACAACAATATAACAAATTCGATTTGAGTAATAATTCTAAGTAACAAACCTAATTTTGAAGGCAACCAAATAAATCAAAAGACCATGGGAGAAACTTGGTGAGACTTATTGTGGCCATTGAGTAGCATTTTAGGACTAGGTTGAATTAAAACACAATTGCAGTTCTACCAAACGGATCATCAGTACACTTTGAATAAAAAGTTGTGGACTGACAAGATTTCTTGGGCCGGTCAAGTTACCTATACTTCAAATTTTAAGTACAGTGTTATTTTTGTCAAGTCAGAAAGGCATCAATTAAGAGGGGTAAAAAGTTTCATCATGATATGGAGTCTTGTTACAAGATCTCGGGAACAGCTGTCTACAATATGAAAAGCACCAACTTTGGTTCCGATTATGCCATCAGATGGTTTGGTGAATATTCCCTTTGGCCTGAACATCAGGTATGAGACTTGTTCCTTAAAATTTATGTAGGTTAGCTTTTAGGGCTCAGGACAGAACAGTTCCTGTTTTAAAATTTTTATGGAAGAAAGTCAGATAGAAGAATTTAGGATCTAGTTTTTATGTAGATAACAAGAACTCAAGAACAATGTATGGTGCTGTGGTCTAATAACAGGTATATCACAGCTTTTCTTTAAAACATAACTTTTAGAATTCTAGAACCCCTTAGAATTGATCACATAGGAACCTTGGATTTATAAGCCTCTTGAGGCTAGGAAGCCAATCCCAGGCAGACTTTAGATTTTACTTACAGTCTTAAGTTTCTGGGCCTGCCAGGAAGCAGCAGTTTTTATTTACTCGCTGTAAGGATGGGAACCCTTGAAGGCAGGCATATTATGCATATTTTCAAAAATGACATTTCAGTCAAAGCCTTAGCAATGTAACTGATGTTTTCAACTGTATTATGCTACAGAGAGAGAAAAGATTTTTCTTGGACCTATGCAAATAACTATACTGTTGTGTGAATGCTTAGTTTTTGAATTCTGTAAGAATCAAATAGGGGAAAAAAACCCCAGATGCTTTTATCTTTGTTTACAAAAGTAGACATAATCAAATTCCCATAAATTAGGCAATCACATTTTCTTGAATCTAGACAACAAAATATTTGAAACATTTGAGTAAAGGAACAACATTTCAAATAAAAGTGATAAAAACATTATATTTATCAGTTATTCAATCTTGTGTAATTGACTTGTTCTGCTTGATTTCAGTAGTAGTTTTAGGAATTCTTTATTTCTTTATGAGAGATCTGGAAAATTTTATTTGAACTTAGTTATCAAAAACTTGTATTTAAGAGTACTTGTTAGTGTCTTTTGCATAAATCTGATTGTAAATGTTTTTAGAGAAGAATTCAAAACAATAACCGTGGGTGACAGAGAATAGGCAGCTATGCTTAAACATAATCTCTGCTGAAAGTTTAAAACTGACAAGGAGATTTAGTTATTTTAAGACAACCAGAATTATGACTGATGGCATATTAGATTTATATAACTTTTGAAACATTCATAGCAGCAGCATACTCTACTCACAGATTCAAGTAAAAGAAGATCAAGTACCACGTATCATCTGGTGCTGCTTCCCAGTTTACTAAATAAGTCTTATTATTTAATATCTGTGAAAGATGAGTGATATATCTTTTGATGCTTCCTAGGGGCCCAGCTAGAAAATCCTCAAATTAATTTTAGGTCAAAGAGAGTTAAATTAGAATTTAATTTGGGATAAGTTTGTCAAAGATATGAAAAGACTCAAACATTTGATCAAAACAGATGATCGTAAGTGACAGATGACTTATGGATCCGTCCTCATTCTTGTAGCTGTAGTAATAATTGAAAGGCTTTAAAAGCAATCCAGAGAGTTGTGGGGGGACCTCATAACCCTTTTAAAGCGCTGTTTTTGTTTTCAAGTAATCAGAAACCTAATAAAGGCAAAACATGAAATTATCTTGATAAAACATAAACTCTTTGTTTCTTAGGCCAGCTACTAACAAGATAAAGAAAGCCCTGCCCTGGCGATTGCTCTGCCTAATGGGAAGCTCATTTACATAAGCTACATGTGGACCCTGATGAAAGGGTATTGAATTTAATCAGAGGCAGGAAGAACGGATCCAAAATTGTGAGTGTAACAATTCAGGTGCATCAGAAAAAGCCAAGGATACAGAATCACTTTGGGCCTTCAGAATAAACATTTCTGTGTTAGGCCCAAACAGCAGAGTTAGAACTAGAGTAAAAAGTTACAGGAGCTGACAAAAAAGTTGAAGGAGAAAGTTATGATCTCAGGCCTTCTCAAAGGGAGAGAAAGCTAAGGGCCATGATGGGCGACTAGCAAGCCCTGTGGTCAAGATACAGCAACAATTGAACCTCTAAGATATAAATCAGCCATTTAAAAAGAAACATTTTACCCCAAGCAATGAAACTACCATTTTAAATAAAGAGGACAGCATTTTAATCCTGAAACTTAGGGAAATTAAATAGGTCTCAGGAAGAAATGTGTCAGAAAGAGAAACTGCAGCTCAGAAGATGGCTGTTAAAGTAATAGATTTTATTTTATTTTATTTTTTTATTTTTTTGAGACGGAGCCTCAAGCTATCCCCCTGGGTAGAGTGCCATGGCATCACGCTCACAGCAACCTCCAACTCCTGGGCTCAAGCGAGTCTCCTGCCTCAGCCTCCCAAGTAGCTGGGACCACAGACGCCCGCCACAATGCCTGGCCATTTTTTGGTTGCAGCCATCATTGCTGTTTGGCGGGCCCCGGGCTGGGGATTCGAACCCACCACCTTAGGTGTATGTGGCTGGCGCCTTAGCCGCTTGAGCCACAGGTGCTGAGCCAAAGTAATAGATTTTAGAATTAAAAAATCAAAACCTTTTGAATTTTTTAAAAAGATCACATCACTACTTTAAGAAAACTTTGTTGTTTTAAATATAGACTACCATGAGTAGAATATGAATGTTTTGACATAATGACTAAGAAAGTTACATGAAGGCTATGTTAACCAGTTTGATGGAAATGTCTTGGATTGTGTGTGAAAACACCACACTGTACCCCCAAAGTGCATCAACGTACACAGTTACCATTCAATAAAAAATAAATAAATAAATAAATAAACATAGACTACCAGATTCTAGTCCTGCGTCAGTGCACCCCAACACCAATGTTTGTTTAATTTTTTGAAAAACACAATTCCTTCCAAACCCCAACCACCCAGTTACACATAAAACTTCCTTTATAAGGCTCATCATTTATAAATCCTCCTTGATTTGTTTTGACCTTTTAGCCTTTTCCTGAAACTCTAGTCTTAGTTCTATAATTTTAATATTCTTAAATATTTGAAATAATCATTTTAGTCTTAGAACAAAAATTTACCATGTAAGCTTCTTCTTGTGCAAAACTGTTTTTTCCTAAATTCATATTTTGATTAATAGAAGGCGAGAACAAGCATATTTACTCAGCATTTTGTTTCAGTTTTTTATCTGATTTGGATATTACCCAGACATTTCATACATATCTGTTATTTAATTTAACTTAACATTAATTTATTCAAATTCCATTCCATGTCCCAGTTCGTGTGTGTATATACAGTATCTACACACACATATCCATAGGCTGTTTTTGTATCAGTCTGTCTATATAGAAATCTATGAGTTTGCTTTGATGCCTCCACTTCCCACGGGATTCACGGCAGTTTCCTCTCCTTGGCAGTGAGGATTGGCTCCCCTGATCCTTCCTGTATCTGCTTATTGGCCATTACCCCTCATGGTAGGGGTCTTCTCAGTGCTGCTGTGGTGCCTCCCTGGCATCTGCGGCCACCTCATCCCCTAGACTCCATCCTCTAGTCATTAGCTCAGACACCTTCACACCCCTTGGAGGGACCCCTTCCCCACCTTGCTGGGGCTTTGGCACTCCAGCAGGAATTGCCCTCTTGGCCATCTGGGCTCCCACTCCCCACACTGGGTCACCTTCCCAGGTTGCTGTTGGCAGAAACCCGGTCCCCCCCCTCCCCCAGTGAGGCAGT